AGTTTGGCATGATTTCTTGGCTCACTTGCAGATAAGTTGTTTATTTGGTATTTCTTTCTACAATATCTGATCTGAACCATGAAATACTCAGAGTAGACATCATCTCCTGAGTGGAAGTGCTTTATTTGTGTTGGCCAACAGTTCACTAAAACTATATCTTGTGTATATCCAGGGTAAAACACTTACTCAGTGCTTTCCTTTATATCAAACAAGGAGATGGATATGAACATAATGCATTAGTTATCATTAGCAGAGTGATCATTGGCAAACCAGTGAGTTCTGTAACAAACCAATCTTTCTGCCTAATTACCTCTGTCAGTGCAGACAAGAACCGGCTTGCAAATAATTTTTTATATTTCTCACTCCCCCAAATTTCTTCTCCCCAAGGACTCTAACCAAGATACATGTATCTGTATATATGGGTAACAATGTTGAATGCTACCTTCTTTCTTTTGCTCGAGATTCTTGTGACCTTACTTGTAGAAGAATGTTTGTCTCTGCTTTAAGTTGAAGGTACTTGACATATTGAATTAACTTTTGTCTGTTTGGTGCTTGTTGGCTCTTGAATTATGTGCCTTATCTTCCTTCCCTCCTCACATCACCCACTCTGTCGTCTCTTATTTTCTGTTGTTATTTTTGGTCTGACAAAGTTTTGTTAAATCTATGGCCTGCTGCAGGGTGGGAATTCTCAAGCTCCTTCAACATTGGGCTCTAATCAACCTGTGGCTCAACCCATAGGCCTTGGGCAGAGTTCTGTCAGCGTTCCTCCACATTTGTTCCCTTTAGTACGCCAACCATTTCCTCCTAATTATATGCCGTATAACCCTTACATTCCCCACCTTTACATGCCACAGAGTGCCCACCAGTTTTTGGGCCCGAGTGGATTCCCTCAGCAGCCTTCTCCTGCCAACTTTTATATGTCACCATCAGTTACTGCTGCTGGTGTCAAATTACCACTTCCATCCCTATACAAACCAGCAGCTATTGCTGGAAACTTGAACCACTTTGGCATCCCTACTGGCTACAGTTCGTATGGGTCCTCAACTGTCTCATACAGTGGAACTCCAGCTCTAGTTTGTTCAGCTAGCAATGAAAATCTCGCTGCACCTGATCTGAAAGAAAAGAATGTCTATTCCATGCACAAGCAGGTTTGGATTTTTATCCCTGTTTCCCTTTTCCAACTTACGTCCTGTCTACTTTTGGTTGACTTGAATGTGGCATATTATGTGAATCTATCATAAAGCATGTATTGGTTTCGGTCCAATTCTGATATTGAGATATCACCTACTCTTTTTTCGTGCAGAATGAAGATTCCCATTACAGAAACTCTGCACCTGGACGTGATCAATCAATGCTTCAGACCAATTATTTTTACAACATCCCTCAGGACCAGCACATTGCTGTTGCGCCAGCACATTCTTCCAATAGCTCTTATCCTGGAATTAATGTATCTCAGACACTAGTTGCACAATCTACTGTTCAACCCTTAGCCCAGCAACCTCAAACTGTTGCCAGATCAGGTGATTCTGGCCTTCCTACATCTGGTGCTTTTCAACAACCTCAAGCTACTATTCATTGGAATAACAAATTGCTGAATAGAGAAAACGTCTAAGAATAAAGACCATAGATATACTTACTGTTTACATTACCCAAGTATGTAGTAAAGACATCACTGATAGATCAAAATCGTTCCCTCAAGTGTATATAAGATGTGGCTAGAAACTACCCACTCGCAGTTAGATTATGTTGGAACGTTTACTTCTCAACCTTTGGTTCCAAGATAGAGCTTCTTGCTTTTGATAGTTAGCTGTTAGCTTTCTCAATTCCCTGATCTTTCTTAGACTGGAGAATTTTTTAATGTTTGAGTGAAGCTGGTGAAGATACCAATTGTTTCCATTTCTATTTCTAGCTTGTATATCAACTTTTCACAGTCCTCCTTGAATGTGATAATTTTTTTTGTTCCAACAAAACTTATGTGCAATATCATATGATGTGTTAAAATATCTGGCAAGGTTTTCGCTGGTGCAAAGCATGGTGTGTGTATTCATTATCCACCAAGTTTAAGTCTCTGTGATTTCTTGGTAATCAAATAATGAAGATTATAATGTTGCAATGGGAAATCCTGAGCAGAACAAGAGCAAGTCTCAAAATCATCAAGATATTGCAGCACTATTATAACCCGGCAATGGATTCCACAAAAAGTTGATAGGTAGATCAATGTGCGTATGTGTGTGTGTGTTACTAGAACATTACAGCATAAAATGAAAACCCAGTGTTCATAACATTCATCTTAAATAATCAATCAACTCCAACTGTTCTACCCTATACTTTGTGATGAGTCTTAGGATAATTTCTTTTCTAGAAGATCATTTTCCCTCCTGATGGTGTCAAGATCTGCTTTCAGCTTGTCAATATTAACACTTCGAGGTGCCATGTTTGCAAGTTTACCTTCATAATCAGTCACTTCTCGCCGAGTTCTATCCGTTGCAAGAAGATTTTCAGCTATTTGTTCAAAGCTGTCATGGATGTTAGTCAGTATCCTGTAAGCTTGTTCTCCCACTTGGTCCTTTTTTACCTCCCTTGTAAAAGATCAAACAATTTACATCAGATAATCTACACACTCGTGAAGATGTTAAATTCGTGGTCACCAGCATATCAAAAGATTGTACCTGAACACGGTCTCATCAACCACTGCACGAGTTCGATTAAGCCGTTCTTGGACAAAGTTGCTCTCTAACTGAAGCTCCCTTGTTTCTTTTAATATTCTTTCTATGTCCACATCCTGCTTCCGGCTGTTTTTGGTGATCTCTTCAACACGCTGAATGTAGGTTCTTCTAGGTTGTAATTTGGGCTGCTTCTCAGCCTTGGCTGAGAGTACAATGAGTTCTTCCTCTCTGCAGAGTTACGCATACCAAACTTTCAAACAAAGCAGCATTAAAAGCTCGGATATACAAATAGATCCACACAACTTGACCCCTTTCCATAATGAGTAATGAAAATTCTTAAATGTCAAAGAATCCAAACGATAAAAAACCAAAAATGGTACAGTTTCTTCTCTCAATTTCTCTTTTGGTTCAACTATGTAATCTAACAAACGACGGATATTTTGCATGACCTAATAGAAGATCGTACCTTCTTTTGTTTTCGGCTAATATATTCTCCAACTTCAACTCAATCTCTTCCACCTTTTTATATTTTTCATAGGTCTCTGGATTTGTTGCTCTTAACTTTTCCTCAAGAGAAACCTTCTTTTGCTCAAGGGCCTTGCTTCTATCAATGCTGTACAATATTTTAAAAAGGCTTAACAATTGATATCATCCAAGTTTCAATAGGGGAAATATAAGTAAAAATGTTTAAAATATAGAAACGTCAGTATCCTACCAGTGACTTTCCATTTCAACAATTTTGCCCCTTTTCACTTCCACCTGATCGTTTAGCTGATTCACATAAAAGTCACTGGGATGTTTGTGATCAGAAGCCATTTCAACTGCTGCTTTCAATAAATCAAGTTTTTCTTGCAGTTCTTGTAATTGAACAGAGCTTGAGACTGAATTCTCCACAAGCATTTCCTTTTGATCTCGTAAAGTTTCCGTCTTGCAGTTCGTCTGCAATATGGCATGAATTTAGAAGATAAGACGACAAGTTGGAGGCTTTCCCAATGCCTAACCACGAAATCAAATAGTATCATTGTTTGTTCCCTATTTCTGTTATCTTTATATGCTCCAATTAAAAAATTATTGGCTTGTTCTGCTCTATTGGACAACTAGCTCAAAGCGTAAAAGGTCTACCACAATATACTAAAGAGCAATGCAATCCATTCATAATTAAGTACCTGAGGCAAATGCTCACATGGTGAAGTTGATTGTTGTCCTTGTCCATACTCAAAATTCTGCTCACCGTCTCTCAAAGAGCTCCTCCTAACGCCCTCCACCAAATCTAGGACGTCTTGTTCACCACTTGACGTCCCATTGCTAGAACCAGTTCCACCTTCTATAGGTATTTCAACACCATTATAAACCTCTTCCATCTTATTCGGAATAAGATCAGATTCCTTTGACGCCTCTGGTGTTTGTGTCATCCTCATCAACGGATCAACCTGTCTCTCCGAAAGCCCCTTACGTGGCAGCAGTCCTGCATCATCAAGCTTTTCTTCTGGAGTCTTAAGAACTCTTTTAGATTCTCGAACTAACTCTTTTCGAGCTTCATCATCAGATAGCCTCCCAACCAAGAACCTTATCAACTCGTACAAGTCCTCTTCCGATGGATAAAGGAACTGCCTAAGCAATATACCACAAAATGCTTTCTCTAAGCACAAATTTAAAAAACACATGAAGCAATGTAGAACTAATGCAAATAAAAATCAATCAATTAATTAAGCATTGAGCTGCATCACCTACTACAAAAGCATATAATTTGACACGGGAAAACGATAATAAGTAGCAAGAACTTTGGTTTCGCCTGCAAAATCAGCTCGGAAGCTTGCAGAACGCCGCAAAACGACGACGTATTCGACATAGGTCAAAAGAGGAAGAAAACAAAGGAGAGGTATATATAACAGTAGTAAGTAAAACCTTGTGAAAGCTGATATCTCCGACGAAACCTATAGATTTGAAAGCGGAGGCAAGCTCTGAGCAGAGTTTTGAGCGGTCGGCAACTGAATTCTCCGGCAAGGAAGCGGGAAACGACGAGTTTTGGCGGTCAATGAGGTACAAAGCCTGGGAGGAGACGGCAAATAACGTCGGCGGCGTGAGATCTTTCACCGATGAGACGCCGGAAGGAATCGTTACGCCGGAGCTGGCGATGGAATTCAGTAGAATATCTTGCGATTCTTCCATTTTTCTCTGAAGATTTTGACAGGGGTTTAGATCCCTTTACTATTCCATTAATATTTTATATTTTAATAATTTTATTATTTAATAGCTTATTATATTTGTAAAGGTAAAATTGATGATAAATTTGAAGATGAAAAAAAGTAATTTCAAATAATTTGTATGAGTAATTATCGATAAAAATAATAAAGATGTTATTAAATTATAACAAACTACATAAATTTATACAAGAATATATTCACAAACATGGTGATACATTATGAAACGAAAATAAAAATCATCCAAACAAGTTGTTAGAACAGTTTTTACATATTCCCTTTCATTTGGTATCTCCTATGAACAATTTGACAATATTGTTATACTTTTTATATTAGAAATCATCTATTTTTCGTATAATATTTGCGTATCGATATTATTTCATGTAGTAATTCCCTTGTCTTTATCTAAATTAATCGGACTCTTCAAAAATATTGTTGCTCGTGTCGGATCCTTTAAAACTACACTATTTTTGAAGAATCCAGCATGCCTCGAATCAATCCAGCATTTTCATTCCTTAGAGTTTCAAATATTATTAGAAGTGTAATAAAATAATAGGTGAAGAGCAACAAGTTTGTGTGCCATAACTAGAAATTGACCTCAAAGATCATACAATGCATCAAGATCACCAACCAAAGTATATCTAGTAGGTTTCAATAGAAAGCATGTGTTTCAACAAGTTTCAAGATTTTAGGCAAAATTCTAGTTTTGTTCCTCAACTTATCTTACCATATATAATTGTCATGAACTTTGTAAACAAGATACAAAATCTTCCTTTTTATGATACAATGGAGCATATGGCACAAGATGAAATCGAGGACTTGTCGTTGTCCCTTCCAACTGTTGGCTCAATGCAGATTGCTGGAAGTAACGGTTTTGGACATAACATAGAGTTCATGTCTCAAGCTTATCTTAGAAACAGAAGCTCTGAAATTGATATAGAAGTTGAACATGATACGTCTATCGCTCATATAGATCAACCTCTTCCCATATTCCTCAAGGTACGATCTTCTTTCATGATATATGCTTACGAGTCGTGGCTTCTGTAATGGGAATGGTTTTGTATGCAGTTTGCAAATGTGGAGTATAAGGTGAAGACTAATCAAGCTTTCTCCAACAATCCTGTCAAGGCAGTTGTCTCAAAGGTAGCTTCTCAGTTTGAAAATGATAATTACAAACATATACTCAAAGGTATAACGGGAAGCATTAGTCCCGGTGAAATTCTTGCCTTAATGGGACCTTCGGGCAGTGGAAAAACGACTTTGTTAAAGATACTGGGTGGAAGATTGCACGAAAATGTCAAAGGAACCGTCACTTACAATGACATTCCATATAGTCCAGCTCTGAAAAGAAGGTGGTACCTATCCATCAATAGAGAAAAAAGTGTTCTTTTAATTGCTGTCTTTAACCAGAGAGTAGATACAAGTTTTTCTTTCAGTGTACATGGATTTGTATTAACTTCAGTTTGCGATATGTGCTTATGTCTAGGGTGGGTTTCGTGACACAAGATGATGTGCTTTTCCCACAATTGACGGTTGAGGAAACTTTAGTTTTTGCTGCATTCTTAAGACTTCCATGCAAGATGAGTCGACGTCAGAAGTATGAAAGAGTAGAAGTGATTATTAAGGAATTAGGCCTTGAAAGGTACTTTGTTATCCTTTCATGTACTTGAGTACTCACTAATAGCAACTACCGTTGCAACTGTTCACTCGTGAATTTCTTAATTGTAGATGTCGTCATACAAGAATAGGTGGAGGACTTGTAAAAGGTGTTTCTGGTGGAGAAAGAAAAAGAGCTAGCATAGGTCATGAAATCCTTGTTGATCCTTCTCTTCTCTTGCTCGATGAACCAACTTCAGGCCTTGATTCGACCTCTGCAAATAGACTACTTCAGGTTCTTCAAGGGCTTGCTAAGGTAAACACTTCAATAATCATATTTTCACTATTTTCTACTCTCTCCGTTTCAAAAAGAATGTCACTTTCTTTTTTGCAACTTTGTAATTCTAACTTTCCACTTGACATGCTTAAGACTATAAACATAAAGTTTATTTTGGTACATTCTACATATCTTTAGGTTAAGATTACAAGAATCTTTCTTTATTTTCTTAAAATCCGTTCCAAGTCAAAACCAAACAAATAAACTGAAACGGAGGGAGTAAACCATTCTTTTTACTTTGGAACAAGTTAGCCAAATACTAATACATTTTGTTCATCAGATGGGAAAGACAATCATAACAACAATTCACCAGCCTTCAAGCAGGATTTTCCACATGTTTGAAAAAATTCTGTTGATAGCAGAAGGTTATCCGGTTTACTATGGTAAGGCAAGGGATTCGATGGAGTACTTTTCGTCTCTAGGTTTCATTCCGGAAATTGCCATGAATCCAGCAGAGTTCCTGCTGGATTTAGCAACAGGACAAGTAAATGATATCATTGTTCCTGATGATCTGTATCCACCTCAAGTCACTAACGAACGAGAGAAGATTGTCATCAGAGTATGATTCTCATTTGTACTTTGTTCTGATTTAACGTGTTTCGTTTAGTTTACTCGAAAGCTCTTTATGGGACATACTTTCACAGAAATTATGTCTATGAACATTAGTATCTGCAACACAAGTACAAAGTCCTGTTGGAGCCGAAAGAGAATCATCAATTGTCGAAAGCACCAGAGCATCTTCAAATGGCTGTTAAAGTAAGGAAAGATTGGACTATATCCTGGTGGGAACAATTCAGGGTACTGTCAAAGCGAACGTACAGGGAGAGATGTAGAGACTATTTTGACAAGCTCCGGTTAGTTCAATCTGTTGGAGTTGCATTACTGCTCGGACTTCTTTGGTGGAAATCCTCAACTGCAACTGAAGCTCAACTCCGCGATCAGGCAAAATCCTGATCTTATATTTTCCTCTCCTTGTAGTATTTTCAAGAATGTTAAAAAACTTATACCTTCATTGCAGATTGGTTTAATGTTCTACATCTGTATCTTCTGGACATCGTCTTCAATTTTCGGAGCAGTGTATGTTTTCCCATTCGAGAAGATGTATTTGGTGAAGGAAAGGAAAGCAGACATGTATAGACTAAGTGTCTATTATGTCTGCAGCACATTGTGTGACATGGTAGCACACATTTTGTATCCGACGTTTTTCATGTGCATTGTGTATTTCATGGCTGGCTTCAAGAGGACCGTCCAATGCTTCTTCCTAACGTTGGCTGCAACGCTATTAATAGCGATAACTAGCCAGGTAAAGTCCAATTTTTTTCGCGAACTGAAAACGTTGTACTCAATTGTTTTGGAAAATATGAATGTTTCTTGTTGTTATAGGGAGCTGGAGAACTGTTTGGAGCTGCAGTTATGAGTATTAGAAGGGCTGGGATGGTTGCTTCACTGATATTGATGTTGTTTCTTCTCACTGGAGGTTACTATGTTCAGGTATCCAAATTAAAAAATAGCCATGTTGCAGTCTCACCCGCGTCGGATTCTTTAAAATGCACTATTTTTGGAGGATCCGACAGTCTGATAAACACATTATAAGATTACTTATAATACTCCATTTTATTCATTCTCAGATAAGTTGAAACCAAGAATCCTACTAAGTTAAACTTGTGCTATTGGGTAGAACGTTATTAGGTAGTCCTTCCGTTTTAGTAGTCATAATATTTCTCTAGTAATTTTTTGTCCATCAACTTTTATTACTATCTATTGTCTCTTGTACTTCGATTATCACACTATTTTGTTGTAGTTACTGGTCTTTTTTCAGAATACTTTGTCATACTTTCTATAGTATTTTGTCATGATTTCTTCACTTCTGTTATTTTCTGCTTTGATATGTGTTCCCTTGACAACTTCTCTACGTAAGGTCTGCATACACTCTACCTCCCCGTACACTGCTTGTGGATTATACTGAATATATTTTTGTTATATAATCAATTGTACCTTAAGTTTCTTTCTATGTTTATTTCTTTATATTTCGAGCTACGTGATGAGATTGTTTGTTTTTTTTTCTTTTTGCAGCATATACCAAAATTCATGAGGTGGCTAAAATACTTATCATTTATGTATTATGGATTTAGGCTATTATTAAAAGTGCAATATTCAGGAGATGATTTATATAATTGTGAAAGCAAAGAGGGTTGTAGAACTCTTCAAAGTTCTCCTTCATTTGACACAGTTGGATTAGATGGTGGATTAAAAGAAGTTTGGGTTTTATTAGCAATGGCTATTGTTTATAGATTTTTAGCTTATATTTGCCTAAGCAGAAAAATTAATAGTTGTAATCTTTAAAACCAAAAAAAAAAATCTTTTTTTTTCTTTTTGGTTGATGAAAAATGAGAATTAATTTATTGATGTATTATTGACAAATGGGGAATTGAACTATCAAAAAAAAAAAAACTCTTTGATTGTATATCTTTGAAAGTAATCATTTTGATTTTATCAATCTTTTCTTGTGAGATGAAGCTAAAATAAATAAATGAAAGTATCTTTACTTTTATTTTAATTTTTAGTTCCTCCTCTCACGAAGAAAGGAGGTTTTCTATATGGATATGAAATTAAATAACATGTTAATTATTTTGGTTGGTATAAAACGGTGTTTAAAGATCATATTATTTAAAGGAGAAAAAAATGTAATTATAATATAAATAAAAATTGAATTAGTTAGGTCTCAAACGATGAAAATTATGATATTTCAAATATCTTTAAAGCAATTACTAATGGGGATCAACTATTTAAAGTCATAAATCAATAATTATAGTGATGAAAGTATAAATACTCTTTTCTTCTTAATAAAAAGCAGCTTCAAAATTATAATCTAAAATATAGAGTTATTTTTATTAGAGAGCATCTTTTTTATCGTAACTTTTTGGTGTTGATCTAAATTTAATTCAATTTTAATATAAATATCGAATATCAAGAGGGAAATAAAAGAAAATTAAATAGTGCAGAACATACTCTTTTATCTTGATAAAGAAAATCTCACGAGTCACGATCAAACTTTAGGATATGAAATTATTTTTATTAAAAAATAATTTACTTCATAATATAAAATATTTTAATATGAATTTAAATTTAATCAAATTTCAAATACGAAACTAACATAAAAGTAAAATAAAGGGTGAATCACGTTGGTCGTAATGGTGCTAATGTCTACATATGCCGTATTCTTCGGTGGGTCCCTTAAAGCCCACATCCCACGTTCAAATTGTTTGACTTATTGCTAAATCACATTTTTACCCTCTAATTATTTGTGAGTTTGAAAAAGCATAAAATGTACGCAAGCTTTTTCATTAATTTTACGAAGTAAAGATGAAAATACACCCTTGGCTCAACCGCTCGAGCTTATCAAATCAATCATTAAAAGAATAATGACTCTGAAGAGCAACATGACAATTAATAGCAAAGCAGTTCGGAATACATACACAAGAAATCATAACAACAATAACAAGATATAGTCACTTAAACACAATAAATCATATCTGATATCGTATACGAAAATTCAAAGATTACGCGTATCAAGTTAAATCCAAACATACAGATCGAAAACGAGGAGAGCATTAAACAAATTCAAAAGACAAAAGTAACCTTATATGAAGAATTGAACAAAGGGCAAAACTGTCATTGTAAAGGAAACAGTAATGTACCATGTGGCTTAAGAAGAACTAAGTGGTCCTCAAATCATTGAAGTTGTGGATACTAATAAAGACATCATTCATATTGAGTCTATGAATCAGTAATAGTAAGTCCTCCAAAAAAAATTCCCATTGGGGGATTCACAAATCTGACAAATTCTTCCTCTGTCAGCTTAGTCCAAAAATACACTCAACCCTGCAAATTCCCTTTAAAAAATCTTACTGTAAAACTTAAAGTCACCATTAATGGTGAATCAAGAAAGTCAATCTTAAGAATTTTCCCATTTTTGAACAACCATAGTCATAAAGATTGAGTCTTTTGAGTTTTCTGAGGAAAAAAAAGCTATCTTTATCAGAAATTAATGGAGCTGGTGCCTTATTCAGACCCAAAAGCTGAATCAAGTGTTGTTAATCCACCTTGGGAAGATATGTTTAGATCAGCTTCAATGAGGAAACCAGAAGAACCAAAGCCCCAGAACCAGGTCCCTTCAGAGGCTCAGCCAAGAAAAGAAAATGAACCAAATCAAGATTCAGTGTCTGCTGACCCTCAGGTGAGACTAGCCCTTTATATAGCTATGGCTCATGCTGGACTTGTATTTACATTTTTCATTATTTATGGTGTTGGTAAATTGCTTGAAGAGTATTTGAGAGCTATGTTATGGGCTGTGCTTTGTTCAATTCCATTAAGGGGAATTCAACAAACCCTTGTTGCATTTTGGTCTGAACCTTTGAAGTTAGGTCTTACTGAGACTATTTTAGCTGTCCCTGTAGCTGTTTTCAGTGTTTTTCTAGGGACCCTTGTTGATATTAAAGAGAAGATTTTTAGGGTTGTTCTTAGGAGGCCTAAAGGTAACACGACGAGGCGTCATACGAGTGGATTTTTCGTGTTGTTGAGGTGGCTTATGTCTTTTGGGGTGTTTGTGATTGCTTATGAGCAGATTGGTGGGATGGGATCAGTTGCACTTCTTGCATTGGGATTTATGTTTTCTGCTAATAGTGTGGATTCAACTATGAATGCAGTAACATCTTTAAGAAGTCATAGCTTTCGTAGGTTTGCTATTTCTGCTTTCTTTACTAGAGGGATATTGAAGAAGTTGAAGACGATTGTGGCGATTGGGTTGATTGTTGGATTGAGTGTGGGTTCGTTAGCAGGTATGATTTTCTTCTCATATAAGATTGGTATGGAGGGGAAAGATGCTGTTATTGCGTTGAAATCCCATGTAGAGGAGAGTAATTATGCTGAGAAAATTGGCGTTAAGCAATGGATGGATGAAAATGATGTCCCCGGGATGGTGGATAGATACACCTCTCAAGTGTATGAGACCGTATTTACCCAGATAGATGGCTATGCTATGCAATATAATATGACGGAGTTTGTCTCTGGGATAAAACATTTTGTAATAGTTCCTGCAAATAACACATTTAATCAATCTACGGCTTTGGCATCCCCCTCTCCTTATGCAGAGAAACTCTTAAGCCTGAAAAGGAGGGTTAAAGATCGTGAATGGGCACAAATATATACAGAAGTGGATGTAATGTTCAGGGAACTTCTGATCACTAGAGAGGACTTGGTTGAGAAAGCCAAAGGGTTCGCTCTCCAAGGAGTAAATGTAATGCAACGGATACTGGTTAGTAGCACATCTGTCTTAGGTGGGAGCATGAAGGTCATGTTCTTGATCGGGAATTCCATCGTTTCGGGTGCTGCTGGTCTTTTTAATTTTGTATCTCAGCTAATGGTATTCATTTGGGTACTTTATTATCTCATCACATCGGATTCTGGTGGAGTAACAGAACAAGTCATGTCTATGCTCCCTATGTCACATTCCGCAAGGAGGCGAAGTGTTGAGGTTCTTGACAAAGCTATTTCTGGGGTTCTTCTAGCAACTGCTGAGATTGCACTCTTTCAGGGGTGTCTAACTTGGCTCTTGTTCAGATTATTCTCCATACATTTTTTGTACATGTCAACAATCCTCGCATTTCTTAGTCCTTTGTTTCCTATTTTCCCATCACTGTTTTCAACTATCCCAGCTGCTTTACAGTTGGTGCTTGAAGGTCAATATGTATTGGCCATCAGCTTATCAATTATACATCTCGTACTTATGGACTATGGTACATCCGAAATCATGGAGGATATACCTGGCTATAACGCGTATCTCACTGGTCTCAGCATTATTGGAGGAATGACATTGTTCCCTTCAGCATTTGAGGTAATCTAAAACATCACTCTCTCTTGAATTTCCATTATAACGTTCTTGCATTACTTAGTTACCTGTCAGGTTACCTCTCTTGTTGAGTATGAGGAAGGAAGTGAACTTGGAGAATTGGCAATGCCTATACATCAGATATTAAGATATCCCCAATATTAGACAGAAAAATGTGAACTTTAAAAGTCCTTCATTTACCTATCAAAAAGAGAAATATGATTGTCACGCGATGACAGGAAAGACGATAATTCTATTGGGGAGAGAAGCTATGAGTGCATTCCCTTTCAACCTTATTCTTAACTCCAGTTATTGTCTAGATCATGATTGTCTTGGAACTATGATGTATTACTTTTTTGTGAGTTCCACACCCCAACTATCAATTGCTTCCTTTTCCTACCTAAACTATCATCATTATATATTAAAACATGACTGATTGGGCCAACTATCAGTTGTTTCCTGTGTCGCCTTTTGCGCATGTATAAAGATGTCTATTTGCTTTATATGTCACTTCATGACTTGAGTGGTACCTGAAAGCACACCAAGGTGTGTTTTAATACGTAGATGCTCATAGTTCTTGTAGGGAAAGGGAACAACCAGTGGTTTTGTAAAAACAAGAAAAGTTCATGTGTGTTTTTGACCATTATCTCTTTCACTTGAGATGATTTCATTACCATAAAGGTCGCATCTTTGATATTAATTGTGTATTTATGTTGCACAGGGAGCAATAATGGGACCACTGATAACTACTGTTGTGATCGCGATTAAAGATTTGTATGTTGAATTTGTATTGGAAGAACAGAAGGAATAAGCAGAACAAATCTGTGTTTGCAATGCCTGAACCTTTGAAGACATTGAGAAGAACCCCCTATTACTTTCTTTGATGGAAAAACATCGCAAGATAAAGTGAATTCTTTTTTCTCCCAGTCAACTATTGTTTGTATTCTACCTGTGTTTGAGGATTTTTTTTTTCTCTCAGAAAAAGCTGTTTATAGTGTGCAGAAAATTGGTAAATTATTAAAATTGGAGTATAGAATTGTGCATTGTATCTTCTTTGTAAAACCTTTAATCTTTTGAAGAGAAATAGAATTGTTTTGACATGTCATTTTCCTTCTCTCTGAAATGCTTTGTGCACTACACTATCTTTTTTTCTATTTAAAATGTTATGACCAACAATATTGTTCATAAGAATCAACAAACCAAATAGGATTTGAAAATGTGAAAGTATTTTCACTTTTTGACATATTTCCTTGTGTGATGCAGCGTTTTCTCATTGGTCGATCATGCTACATCAGAGCCAATGGCATTCAATCATTAAACTTTATACTAAGTTTAGAATTATGAAAATGTGTGTTCAAATAACACAGTTTGAATACAACTGTTCAGTAGGTACAACTCTCACCTGTATTGTATTTGGCCTTCCTTTCTTTTTTGGCTTTTCTGCTAATCAGTTCAAAAAGTAAGAGATGAGAACATAATAAAGAACAGAAATGTATTTCCATATATAGTTTAGGAATGACAATATTACAGTAATGCTTGAATGATATGACAGGGTGTTGAGAAACAACTACAACAAAAACAATTCACAAGGCATTGATGTTTGTTGATTGCTTTTTTTTCACATCAAAATCCTATTATCATTTCATGTATTTGTGGAGAAACTTCCTGTGAAAGTCATTCCGGATGGTGTCATTAATGAAACGCTTGGCTACCTTCAGTTCTCCGCGAGCCTGATTCTTGAAGACCACATCATCATCCCACCTAAAGAGAAAATGAATCAAAGACAAATGTGGTAAGTTTTACATAGAAGTAAAGCTGAAAAATCTCAAAAGATGCCATGCCTTAAGGGATTAACCTTCTCTTAACACTGAAAGACGTTGGCTGGTTTATAAGAGGGTTTCCTTTCAACAATTCTGCTTCCTTTGCTTTAAGCTCCTCCTCTTGCTCTTGTCGTTCCTGCCAAAATCACACAACTTTGAGTTCATAGCAGTGTTGATGGTTGGTATTCACATCATCAGATGAATACGATGATTGGTACTCCCTTCTGTCTACAGCTCTGAATGGAAATTTTGCACAGTTCTAGAAGCTATTCGTGTGGAGAAGGAATACCACCAATATAAACCTCAGGATATGCAGTTTAAGAAACAGGAAATTTTGAAGGACCCACATAACAAATTGGTAAAGAAACTATCAAGCATTTAGTAATACATACTTTTCGAAGTTTCTCCTCTGCTTTCTCCTTTTTTATCTGTTCAAGCTCTGCCAATAGAGCCTCTGTATCATCTTCATCATCATCGTCGTCATCATCCTCACTAAAATCAGCGTAAACAACTTATAAGGTTTTGAAGTAACAAAATAAAACAGTCTAAATGCAAAGCTGCAGTAAGGGTGGAAACATATCAACGATGAACTGGAAATATTAAGGACATGCATTCTACAACAAAATTTGATCGTACAACAAAAAACAATTGTTCAACAACCCTTATTTATCAATGAAAAACTATCAAGTATTCCAACGTTTGCACAAATAGGAGCTTACTAAAAGCATCTTTGTACAAATGGGGAACAATGTACAAACCTCTCATCGTCACTTTTGGTGTCTGCATCATCATCAGCATCAGCGCTGCGTGGAACAATGCGGTCTTCAATCACTCTTTTAGCACCTGCAGCAGAATATCATATAATAATGGAAACATGATGAATGTCTTGTTGAAATTCTAGACTAGTCTAATGAACAAACAACACTCACCATCTAAAAGCAGTTGACCACTCTTTCTACGATCTCTGTCCTCTGCAACAACATATACTATAAGTTTATGAGTTGAACAAAATCAGATAGGAATTTGATATGAGTCCACACATGCGTGCAGGAGGGAGAGAGTCTATCCATATATCACATACCGTAGCCGTTGTCTTTTGAAGAAAAATGTCTTCGCTCACGGTCCTCCAACTCTTCCCGGAGATTTCTCCTATGCAACTCATCCTGAGTATCCTGTCCCTCCTTTCTGAATCATACACAACAATGGAAATAGAGATAATGAAATCATGATAAGAATTTAGAAGAGCACCAATTTAAGCAACTCAGGCAGAACCATTAATGGAAATAGAGAAACGCCTTGTATGTAATATGCATGATAATAATATCGAGTTCAATTCAGATTCACGACAATTAGGAGGACAGCCAACTTATGTTACCTTAATGACAAACCCATTGAGTTCAACAATGAACTGCCTAAATTTCTATATGCCAGGATTCAGAAATACAAGTAATGCAAGTTCATCAATCAGTTTGACAAATTACAGCATACATCATCTACCCTATTTCTCACACAAATAAATCAATTCATCCCTCAAATCAACTTGGGTCAGAACTGTTTCTACTCATAAGTGACACGAACTAAACTCACTTAGAATCTACAATAACCTACATTCATACCATATACTGCAATAACTAGGTAAAATGGACATAAGATATGTTGTAATACACCATTTTCTAATTATAGCATTCGTGATAAACACAGTTCCTTGCCATGCTATCGTTTTGATAAATTGATCCTTGACATACTATTGACGCATTTATTTACAACTTCTCAAATTAAGAACAATCTAAACATTTTACCCATACCGAGTGGAAAATAAAATTGCATACCTTTAATCATATCATAAATGTACAACGCCTTTCTCTTAAGAAGATTGACTTAACAGAACTTCCCAGGTAATTCTATGGGGAAACCATGTCTGTTGGACTACAACTACAGGAGGAGACAATAAATATAACAAGTGAAACTACTGACCATATTATCATTATAAGCTTCAATTATACTCAACATAACCTTTCAATAGCTCTTAGTTCCGCTTTAACATAATCCATTTCACTTATATCTACCTTTCTTAAAAAAAATGAGCATAAGCCACTTCACTTCACCTGAATGCAAAATAAGATCATACATCTACAGACACAATAACCGAATAGGGATGCAGGTTGGAACCAGGTAAGTTGAGCCACAAAAATCCCAGCTTTAGACTCAGTACACTCCGTGGTAAGTCAAAAACCACACAAACAGATTGAAACGGAAGTAGTAATAAAAAAAAAACATTATTTCAAATTACTTGCCTAGGCTTTAAAGTAGTGTGAGCTGCAATATCTCTTGAAGAATACTTCTGAGATGGACCAAAAATTCTAGTTCCACCTTGTTCATTCCCTCCTTTAGCTGGTGCCCATGTAGGTCTAGCTGCAGTTGTCATACTTCAAAATTCTGTGTGAAAAAAAGTAACTTCTTTACTCAGAAATCCAAATTTTCTTTTCATGAATGTAAACATCAACAAACATCAAATTAGGTTAAAATAATCTAAGAACCCTAGAAAACAACAATTCATTTCTAACCCTACTATCAAAATTCGATAATCGGATTTTCAATTACCTTAAGGAGTGATTGAAATCGCCGGCGGAATCGAAGAGATGATGGAGCTGGGAGATTCGGATTTTGGTTTGACCCAATTCACACCGGATTGTTTGGGGACGATGCACCGCCGGATAAATAATAAGTGCCGTCAAATATTTCACTATTTATATTTTATAACATGTATTTATATATATGTGAAGCAGTATAAAATTTTGATTTGAATTTATCGAGAATATACTTATTCGTATAAATTGACTAAATTTTATAAGGGAGATGAATTTTAAATTGTTAATTCATTATACGTTCATTAATTAGTGGTCGACCAAGATCAAAGTATTTCAAAACAACAATTTAAACATTTTTAATGAATGAACAGAAAAGAAAAAAAAATCGATATTAAGTATACATTTTTTATATCCTAATAAGTCATTGTGTTTGGAATGACTTTTATTTTTTTAAAATCATAAATACATTTGAGAGCAAATAGTATAATTTTATGATCATGTAATATTATGGCTCAATAGTTGGATAAGTGAAGTATTTCATAAATAATGATACTACATTGAATTGGAATAATATCTAAAAATAAACCCACAATTCAAGATTTTTATGATTTTCTTTGTTCTTAGTCACAATTATTAGTTAGAGAAGTTATGTAACAATGACAATCCATCCCCATTGATATCAATGACACAAGTGGCTTTAGTTGTTTCTTACGGATGCAATCATATTTAATATTTTAATTTCAAATTTTATATATATATATACATATATATATATATATATATTAAGTTTTTTAATAAGCAATTAGTTATTGAATCAACTTCTGTTACTTCTTTTTTCTTCTTGTTGATTTTGAGCTCCTCTTAAGTTGCCTATATTAATGATGTTTGAAAGTGTAAATTTAACCACTAATATTCTAATAATAAGAATAAAATTATTTTTTGAAAAAAACAAAAGAAATAAGTGCATATGTAGAATTTTTTTAATGTATTTTGAACTAGTGAAAAGTAATAAATATAAATTTACGCTTTTAAAATTTTTAAAATCCTAAATATATAAATGAGAAAAAAAGAACATTAAGAGTAGATATCAAACTAGAATTTGAATTTTATTGACTTAAAACTTCAAGATAATGATATCAAATGTCGAATTGCAAATTTAATCTTTATACATAATTAGTAATTTTTAACATAAATACAAAAATGTAACCTAAAATTATTAACAAAAACTCTTAATCATAAGTATAGTATTATTTGTATTTTGTACAAAATCAAAGGCACCAACCCTGACCACTGATATTAAACCACACGTTCTCTTGTAAGTTGGCAGGGAGACGCAAAGAGATTTACGTGGGTAGAATTATCGAGCTCATTTGAATTTTATATTTTTAATGTAAAATATAACATATTAATAATAATAATAAAAGTAATATTTTTAAAATTTATAATTAATATTTTTATGAATATTGGTTAAAGAAAGCGTATAAAAGTCATTTACGTAAACTACTTTTATAACAAATTAATTTTTTTAAATTAAAATTCTGATTTCGTCAAACACGATGGTTAAAGTTGCTTGTACTGCTGGTTTTTGATTAGGTGGCCAACTGCTATCCTCAGCAACCGATTAACTACTGTACCCGCCACTTTTCAAAAAAATTAAATATTTATTTATACAAATATAAATTAAAATAATACATTATGTTAACATTTGTATTAAAAAAAAATTGGATTGACTCAAAGTTAACATCAAAATAAATAAGAGTAATGTATTTTTCAAGAACCCTACATTTGCTTTCATCTTTCATACTTTGCTTCTTCTCAAATAAACAAAAAAAAAAAAAAGCCAAAATCTTCTGAATAAGTTAGGCCAACAGTTATTATACTTCTTTTAAAAATTCACTTTTAATCAAAGCAAATTAAAAAAAAAAAGTATCTGTTTGATTCTTGGTCACCATCTTGAAACCAATCTTTACCTTCCTTGTGTCATGTTTGTTGAACTTCATTAACCTATTTTTCTCTTCTTGTTTTTTTTTCCCCTTTTTTATTCTCACTTTCAAAACTCTTGTTTTGTATTCTGAATTCTTGTTTAAATTTTTAAAAGGTGGGAACTTTTTTGTTGTATGACTTTGTGTCGACTGAATCACTTTTTTTTGGTGTTAGTAGTTGTGAGTCATACGAGCTAGTTAGATATATACGTGGAGCAAAGGGCTCGTAGCACCCCTTTGATTGATCAACTCTTTTGGTGTTAGTGGTGGTGAACCATACGAGCTAGTTAGATACGTGGGGCAGAGTAATCGTAGTAACCCCTTTGATTGATCCAACCTTTTCTTGGCTTTGCTAGTGAGTCATTCCTCTGTTTTACCTTTTTCTTCTTGAAATTTTGCTTATGTTATTAGCAAAATTATTTTGAAAGATTGAAATTTGAGTTTATGAAATAGGTTGAATTGTTTGCTAGTGCACCTTTGTATCGACTTAATCACTCTTTCGGTGAATCGTGAGCTGGTTAGATATGTGTAGTAAGGCAGAGGAGCTTATCTGTATCGACTAAATCACTTTTATAGTGAACCATACGAAGTTATTAGATACGTGGAGCAGAGGGATCTGTATAGTAAATGATCACCAAAAGGGGCAGGCTAGCACGCCTTATTCGTTACTTATATATGTGAGGATATGTTACTACAAAGTTGAAAGTTCTTAGAAATTTCTCACTGTTAGACAACAATCTTTGTGTCATCATATCGAATCATGAGTAACCGTTACTTTATTACAACAGACTCATTGTGTGATTCTAGGATTATTGGTCCAGAAAGAATAAATCTTGATGTAAGAAGAACACCCCCTTCTTCTTCTTCTTCTTCTTCTTCATCTTCATCTTCATCTTCATTCTTGATAAGAATGGCAATTCGAATATCAAGATCAAGATGTTTTAGTTTCTTGAGAAGAGTGTTTCATTATCAAAATGGTTCAAGATCAGAACTTGGCTCAAATCCTTTCAATTCTGTGACTTGGATGATTACGGAGTGTATAGCATTAAGTGTTCAAATAATTGTTACAACATATACATTAGTTGTTACAAAAGATGAAAGACCTGTTTGGCCAATGAGGATTTGGGTATTTGGATATGGTTTTGGTTGTGTTATTAGTTTGATTCTTCTATATTGGAGATATTGGGTATTATATGTTAGCCAAACAAATGATTCTGATCTGGAGCAACAAATAAGCCACGACGAATCAAGGTAACTTGTATAACACTAAAACTGTTATCTTTCGGGTGATCTGATCTGATAGTGTAAAGGTTCGTTTTTTTCAGGGCATTACCGTCTCGGATGGAGAGATGTAGGACATGGATAGAGTTCTTCTTTGCTATATGGTTTGTGATGGGGAATGTTTGGGTATTTGATTCAAGATTTGGATCATTTCATAATGCCCCTAAACTTCATGATGTTTGCATATCATTATTAGTTTGGAATGCTATCACATACTCTTTTCCCTTCATATTATTTGTGTTGTTGTGCTGTTGTGTGCCAATTTTGAGCAACTTTCTTGGCTACAATATGAATATGGGATCAATAGATAGAGGTGCAACTGATGAACAACTATCCAATTTGCCTAGTTGGAAGTACAAAGAAATTGGAAATATAGAGGAGATTACAAGTTGTGATGTAAGTGATCTATTAAGTTATAAAATGTTTCATTCGTTTCAATTTGTTTGTCTTACTTTTTGTTTAGTTTGTTTCAGATATAGTAAATAAAATTTAGTGACTATACGTGAAAGTTGACGTTATGTTTGTGAAATGACAGGAATGTTGTATTTGTTTGGCAAAGTACAAAGAGAAAGAAGAAATTAGAGAGTTGCCTTGTTCTCATATATTCCATCTCAATTGTGTTGATCAATGGCTCAAAATTATTTCTTGTTGTCCTCTTTGTAAACAAGAATTAGAAAGGTAATCGATGGACAGAGTTATTAGATACTTATATTGATGGAAGATAGCAAGTATCATCGTTCAAATAATTATTTTTAAAAAAAGTTAAGTTCGTATTTGTTACTCCACATCCAATTTTTTCTTTTTTTTCTTTTTTCTTTTAATTTCTTTCAAGTCAAAAGTCAAACATAAATTGTATGCTACGTATAGTTACTAGAGTGAGCAGAAGTTATTGTAAATTATAGTTCACCAGTGACTATGTATGTTGCTATTAAAGTAAGCTTTAGGAAAGAATTTATGATTTCGCAATTCACATTGTACCAATTTCAATTTTGTAATAATGGAAATATGATTGATAATATTTTTAAAAATAATTATATGAATTGTATATAAACTGAAATAAATAATTATTCTATGTAACCTTCTCTTCAATAATAGATTGGACTTATATACCGCTATTCATCCAAAATTAAGATAATTTTTTTTTTACAATTTATCTGGGGTTATGAATATTTGAACCGAGTGTTTGTCATTAACAATTCTTTTTAGAGAGTTCATATTACTCATACATAGTGTTTTGAAATAAAAAAAATTGAACTAATGTTTTGAATTAAAAAAGGATCAAACAACCTACTCATTATTTGAAAGTGAATCACAGAACACCAAAAGTTAATTTTTATTTATATATGCAACAAATGGTTAATATATATATACATAGTTTTTCTTTTATAATTTATAAACTTCTGGATTAATTTCTATATTTGAATAAAAATCTCAAATTATATATTTTATTTTATTTTATTTTTGGAGAATTTGTGAGATTTTATTTTATTTTTAGAGAATTTGTGAGTTTATCTTATAATATAAAATAATAAGATAAAATCAGTGTTAAATTACATATTCAAATGTTAATTCACTCTTATAAATTTATATGATGATTTGAAATTGTATGTCCAAACATGTAGTGATGATATTAAAAAGTGTGTTACTTCTTGATGAAATGAAATGAAATGATTTTGACCATTTTTGCAAAATATAATAAACAAAATAATGTTGGAAAAGTACTTTAATAGTTACTTAGGCCCACCTCCTGCTATGGACCATTAAACGAATGGGCTTTTTCCATTAAAATCTTGGGCCCATCTTAATATTTGTACTTTTTTCTTTCTTTAACTTTTATTTTCTTTGTTTGTACTATTGGGTACATTTGTATTCTTCCTTACTTCCAACACCAATTTCAAATGTTTAAATATATATCGGTAAGCCACAAGTATCTCATAGATTATAAT